TAAATATTTAGACGTATCTTTTGGCTGCACATAATGAAGATTAGGAAATTACAACTGACCTTTGTGCAATATGGGTTTGAACTGTGTGGGTCTATTTACAGGCAGATATTTTTCTACCTCTGCTACCCTTGAGACAGCAAGACCAGCCCCTCCTTGTCCTTCTCCTCCTTAGCCTACTCAGTATGAAGATAAGGGTGAAGACCTTTATGATGATCCATTTCCACTTAATGAATACGAAACGTATTTTCTCTCCTTGTGATATACTTAATATTTTCTTTTCTCTCATTCACTTGATTGTAAGAACATAGTAACATATACAAAATATGGGTTAATCAACTGTTTATGTTATTGGTAAGGCTTTTAGTGAACAGAAGGCTGTTAGTGGTCAGGATGTTGCTCTATTATTGTCTTCTAGTTTATACAGTTATTAATATCTTTTCCAATGTCTACCTTTATTTCTTGATTTTCCCTCAAGCATTTTAGGTTTGCCCTTTACTTTCTGTGTTCTGATGTTGTAGAAGTGTTCTGATGTTGTAGAAGTGTTCTGATGTTTGTTGTAGAAGTGTTCTGATGTTTGTTGTAGAAGTGTTCTGATGTTTGTTGTAGAAGTGTTCTGATGTTGTAGAAGTGTTCTGATGTTTGTTGTAGAAGTGTTCTGATGTTGTAGAAGTGTTCTGATGTTGTAGAAGTGTTCTGATGTAGAAGTGTTCTGATGTTGTAGAAGTGTTCTGATGTAGAAGTGTTCTGATGTTGTAGAAGTGTTCTGATGTTGTAGAAGTACCATTCTGCACATGTGCCTTTTAATTCATCCCCTTTCACACTAAGTGGACACTATCTATCTTCACCAGCTTAGGAAAATGTTCTCCTTCTGTTCCTTCTACATTTTCTTTAGTACTCCTCTTGGACAGATGTTGGGCTTGGAGACTGAGCCTCTGCAGCGTTTAACTATCGTCTTTTATTTCACACCTTTGTTACTTGTTCAACATTCCAAGAAATGTCCTCAACTTTAACTTCCACTCCTTTTGGCAAAGCTCTTGCTTTGGCAATTTCATTTAAAATTTGCCAAAACTCTTTCTTATTTTCGATTACTGCTATTGTCTTAATAGTAATTTTTTATTGTTTTCGGGTCTGATATTTTCTCCAATTTCTCTGATGTTATTAAGTGGAATTAAACCACAATATTCTGTTTTTGAATCATCTTTTTTCTCTGGAGAAATGTTCTTTTGTTCATTCTGGCCTTGTGTGCATGTGTGTGCATGTGTGTGCGCGTGTGTGCTTGCGTGTGCGTGTGCGTGTGCGTGTGTGCGTGTGTACGTGTATGTGTGTGCTATTGATGTGCAGTTTATTTCTCTCAAGTATCTGGCAATTTTTCATCTCGTTTATATTTTTGACTGAAGAATGAGAACAGCTAATGTCAGCAGATTGTATAGATCTTCTCCCCCCAAGATGCCTCTCCCTGGTTTCAGGTGGGGGTAGTGGGGGGTGCTGGTGGTAACGCCTCAATAATCAGGCTTTACTTATATGTGAGGGCAGGAAGTGGGCCAGTGGGCTGGGGTCCCTGTTTACGGGAATCATTCACTTTCTTTGAGATATTAATTGCAGCAAACACTGCATATGTCTGTTATTCTAGCTGAATGGAGTGATGGCAGATGGGAGGGTCCAAGTGACACAGACTTTCAATTAATTGCCCTAATTAACCCTCAGTCCTGTGACCTTCAGGCTTGAGAAGCTCACTGGGACTCTGCAGGGAAGCGCATCCTTCTGCATCTGCAGTCTCATCCTGTCAGTGTATTCTAGGCTTCAGCCTCCTCTACTAGTTACCATCAACTCAAGGCCATAGACCTTCCATCTTTCAGAAAGCTATCAACATCTTTGCTTTGCTGGTGATTCCATTTCTCCTGTTTCCCATGCAGTTTTGGCTTGATCTCATTTTAAATTTCTTCCCTATCATGTCAATGGGATTTGAAAGAAAGTTGATAGGTGCTGGGACTCAATCTACCACTTGGAGCTGGAACTTTTATAGCTTTCAAAACAGAATGCACTGCTGCCAACAAGTTTCTATGGCATCCTCTAGGCACTCAGAATGAATGAGAATCACTCAACTATATTATAAAACAGTTTTCTTCCAAAGTAGGAGCATTTGTTCTCAAACTTTTATGGCAGATCACCTGAGGTTGAGCGTTTAAGACCAGCCTGACCAACATGGAGAAACCCCGTCTTTACTAAAAATACAAAATTAGCCGGGCATGGTGGTGTATGCCTGGGAGGCTATGGCAGGAGAATCACTTGAACCCGGGAGGCAGAGGTTGCAGTGAGCTGAAATTGTGCCATTGCACTCCAGCCTTAGCAAAAAGAGCAAAACTCCGGCTCAAAAAAAAAAAAAAAAAAAGTTATCTTGGTGATAGTTTTCTTCTTTTTGCCCTCACTTTTACCTTATTGCCACTCTCGTGGGGCTGCACTGTAGTACCCTCTTCTTATTGGCTGCTTCTTTGATGCAGTAGATTATCCTTAAAGAAAGAGTCAATGAACTTTGAGAGTATTTAGAGACACTCTTTTGAGAAACATGCATGAGCTTTAGGAATGAATTGTGTAACTTTCTCTGTGATTAGCCTGTGGCCGTCTATCCTTACTGATTTATCTTCAGAAAACTGAAAGGCCCTTGATATCGTGAACTCTGAACAGGACTTAAGGTTTATTGTCTTCATTAGTGCACTATTTAAGTTCCTAGTGTCAATACCAATCATTTGCTGGATATATTTGGTTTTATTGTTTTTTTCTCTCAGTGATCCCTGTCAATTAATCATCATTCAGTTCACCAGGAGTAAGTTTTTCACATAAAGGCCATTTATGATCAAGACACAATGTTATACTTAAATTATTGACAGTCAACAATTTATTTATTAATATGGATTTGTTAGCAAATGTGCCAATTATTTTCTTGTCTTTAGTTTTAACACATATAATACTAACTCCCTAAAGAAACTCACAGATTAAAAAAAAATACTCTAGGACTTTGCACAATTGTTTCATAGGAAGAAAATTTATTTCATGTCATGAGTGCAAATTTTAGTAACAATTCTGTTGAAGTCACTTTTCTAGGATTCTGTTTCCAAAGCATTAGTTCAGCTATTCAAGATGAAACACATTATTTATCAAGATGTGGTACTTCAAAATGTCACAGGAGAGAGACACATGACAAAAGGCAACACATTTGTTTAATTTCATTAGTTACAAGCGAACTTCTAGGTCAGTCATGATTTTAGATGTTCATAATATTTCTATTAAGATGTACAAGTCTCAATGATAGTGTTGAATGGGTATGACTAGGGAGAGATTCCAGGTGAGTCCAGCAGGAGCCATCTGTGGGGATCCATTAACCACACTCCACAGACTTAAAACAACAAAGAGCTTTTATTTAATGGTGTGATTCATGAGCGCTCAGAAGTAATGTCATCTCTGCTTGGAGACTTTTCTAACAGGACATTAGGGGGCTATCATGACAGGTAACCTGGAGTGTACAGCTGTAGATAAAGATCCTGACTATTGTAGGTAAAGAAGAATTATTGGGAAAAAGAGGTTTTATGTCCAGTGATCAACAGGGCTGGAAAGAGCTGGTAGTTTCAGAAAAGAAGAAACTTCTCTTTGACAGTTTTAGTATCACACTATAATAACCTACCCTGGGCTAGCATAACTGACTCCATTTTAGCTGTAATCTCCGACCTGGCTTCCCTCTCCTTACCACAGCCCCTTTGGATGCATAACTGGGTCATGCTGCACTTAGAGGCATTGAAGCATACTGTTCTTAACACGTGTAACCATCGTAACCATGTCCTGCTTGGCATACCTGCCCCCTGCTATTGCAAGAAAAAAGTTTCCCTTTTATTATTGTGTAGAAGGAGCCTGATCACCCCCCTTCTTGGTAATTGTATGGAAACCACCTGTGCCCGCAGCCTCTTCCTCTAACCTGCTTTTCTGCTTCTGTAAAATTTCACTTCAGCCAGATACTCCCCTCCCCTACCTAAATCAAGGTACAAAACATAATCAGGCCCCTTCCTCAGGGCCAAGAGATTTTGAGTGTGAGCTGACTCTTGGTCACCGGCAATACAAGGACTCCTGAATTTGAACTCAGAGCATGGCACTTTCCTCCTAACTCACTTGGATACAACAATACTATGGGCTGGAAATGGCAAAACCTATCCCTAAAGACAAGCGAAGTGTTTTGAAGTGACTCTTCCTAGTGAAGTAGCAACTCTAAATAACCAAAATTTGTAACCATCATTTATTCTTTTCTATAAACACACATCTGTTTTTGGCCTGATAATTATAGCTGGGTAGATCTAACAATTAAATGAGTGATTCAGATCCAGCTGAATATGGTCACTCAATTGAATTTTTGGTTCTGACATCATAACCAAAAGTGAAACGAAGGAAAAATTTCTAGGGTCATATGTCTAGGCTCCAAGGAGAAGGAGACAGCAGCCCTAAAAAACAGGAAAGACAGATTCTATTTACTTACTGCTCTTCTTTCTCTTTATCTTAGAAATGTGTGTTTCAAGGGAAAGGGATATACTAGAGTTTTAAAATTGGAAGAAGCTATTGGACTCCTTCATTTCTACAGATTTCTGAGGCCAAGTGATTTGCCTGAAGTACCATAGTTAGTGTCCAGCTTGTTTTATTAATCAACAGGGGATTGAGTGTGCTCTGCCCATAATTCCCACTTACTGCTACTTAGAAAGACTTTCTAAAGTTCACATCTTTTATGCTATGAGGCTGGCCAAGAAGAGCAATTCTTAGTTTGCTAGGCCACGTAAGCTGAAATCTTGCCAGTTTTTCCAGGCGACACATAATAGCTGGATCACATCAGGTGGATTCTTAAGAAGAGATGATTAATAGGTTGATTTAAAAAACAAACAAAGCAAAACAAAACTCAAAGCTAATTCTTTTCCTCCTTCATGTCTCATAATAGCTGTTTCTTGTATGACAGCTCATTGTGTTTGGCTTTTCAGTTTTAAGAAAATCAAATTCTCCTTGCATCAGAATATCAAGTCAAACTGAGCCAACATGGGACTGATTTTATCTTGTGGTCACCAACCAAATTAATAGCATTTTCCATTTGCTGAATCTTTAGTATGAAATGCTATACAAAACTGAGAAGCTGTATATTGACATGGCTCAGTTAATAGTTACTGAACATCCTACACAACGTCATCTCTGGACTTAACATCAAGAAATTCTTCCACAAAGAAGAGTATTTTGATTTCACCTGGGATTCAAACATTCTGGTGGCCTAACTTCCTTCTTGGAGACAATGATTAGGTTAATACTAATCACTCTCCAGAGATAAACTCTTGCCCCATGAAACATTGAAATACTACGTGCACAGGAGTGAGGGCAGATGGGTGTTGGGGGTGTCATGGGATTAGAATGCATATTTAAAAAACGATTCTTTTGTAAGTTCCCCCACCGTTGTGGTTAGTGTAGTGTCAGCTTACAAAACTGTTTGCATATACTCTTCCGAGATTTGGTCCCGCTTCTTTGGGGTTAGATGGGAGTTTTCAAGCAGTTCATAGACATCTTGCATGTTGGGGAGACTCTGCCTCATGTCCTGGGTAACCTTTTGAACCCGAACATCAGTGCTGTTCTTTGGAGGAACCCTCTGCTCCCGGTATGCCTGAGCCTGACGTTTACAGATGCCAAACTTGCTGAGTAGGATGAACACATCCCTCTGGAAGGCCTTGGTGAAAATAGCGTAGAGGAATGGATTGGCACAGGAGTTAAGTGGATAGAAGAGGACCAGCAAGATTTTGGAGTTGCTAACAGTGATGAGAGGCTTGTTCAGAATTGCTGACAGAGCGTAGAACGAGATTGGGGCCATGCACATGAAGTCAGTGAAGATCAACACAGCCATCCTCTTGGCAATTTTGGTATCTTTGTCCCCTGGGTTGTACTGTGGATTTCGGACTGTGATGTAAATCTTCACATAACAGGAGCAGACAATGACGAAGGCAACTATGTTGAGTGTAAGAACAAAAACAATATATGCCAGAGCCAGAGGCGTCTCAGTGTCCATGGGCAGGCAGATGCTGACTTTGGCATAGCTACTTATTCCCACCAAAGGGAGCAGGGCAAGAAGGAAGCAGCAAACCCAGCCCCCAAACATGATGGCACATGCGTGCCTGAGGCGGATCTTCCGATCCAGGCGCATGGCGAAGGTGATGGCATACCAGCGCTCCAGGGTGATGACCGTCAGTGTGTACACAGACAGCTCGCTTGCAAAGACAGTGAAGAAACCAGCTGTGTTGCACCCAGGGCCTGTCTGCCAGTCAATGGCATGATTGTAGTACTCAGAGTGAGTGTAGAGGTCTACAGAGGCAATGAGGAGTAGGTACATCCCCATGCAGAAATCTGCAAAGGCCAGGTTGCACATGAGAAAGCGGGGGACATTCAATTTGTAGCGGCTGGTGAGGAGAATAAGCAGAACGAAGACATTGCCCAGGAGAGCCAGCAGACTAACAAACCACACCACAATTCTCAGGAAGCTGTAGCCCATTATGTCTTCACATGGGTTGAACTCATCCGACTTGGGGGTACACACCATGTCTTCATTGTTCCCACACACAGTGTAGTCATAATGGCTATCAAAAGCTTGTAGGGTCTCTTCCTGGGGGTTTTTGAGTTCCTGGCCAAAACCAATGATCTCATCCTCTTGTTCTTCAAAGAAGACATAATAATGAGCGTTGCTAGAAGTATCCTGGAACTTGGACTTTTCCTTGTACCCAACACTGTTGTCACCCAGATTCTCTTCATATTCCTGGTAGAAGGCGCTATTCAAGGCATTCACAGATTTTCTCTGGCGCAAGCTCTGTATATTGCTCTCATTACACATCAAAGACTCAAGGATTCTGCAAGGCAACAGAAAACAGTTAGTATCTGGCTGGACACAGTGGCTCATTATTATAATCCCAGCACTTTGGGAGGCCGAGGTGGGTAAATTGCTTGAATCTGGGAGTTTGAGGCCAGCCTGGAAAACATGGTGAAACTCCATCTCTATGAAAAATGAAAACATTAGCCAGGCATGGTGGTATGTGACTGTGGTCCCAGCTACTTGGGGGGATGAGGTGGGAAAATCACCCAAGCGTGGGGAGGTCAGAGCTGCAATGAGGTGAGACTGGGCCACTACACTGTACCGTGGGTGAGAGAGTAAGACCTTGTCTCAAAAAAAAAGTCAGTACTTGCTTAAAATCCATGAATGATTCCTACATTTACAAAAACATGCAAACTGCTTACTACAATGTACATAATTCTACAAGGTTCTACAGGATCTGGGCAGGCCTGTTTCTATTACATCATTCCTATGACCTCCCCTCCCCTACTGTGTTCTAGTGACATTGGTCTTATTTCTCTTCTGCAACCACTTGAAGAACAGTGATTAAAAAAATAAAGTGGCCGGGCATGTTGACTCAGGCCTCTACTTGGCTGGGCATGGTGGCTCAATTCCAGCACTTTGGGAGGCCAAGGCGGGTGGATCACTTGAGGTCAGGCGTTCGAGATCAGCCTGGCCAACACAGCGAAACCCCATCTCTACTGAAAACACAAAAATTAGCTGGGCGTGGTGACGCGTGCCTGTAATCCCAGCTACTTGGGAGGTTGAGGCAGGAGAATTGCTTGAACCTGGGAGGTGGAGGTTGCAGTGAGCTGAGATTGTGCCACTGCGCTCTAACCTGGATGGTGACAATGTGAGATTCTGTCCAATAAATAAATAAGTAAATAAATAAATGAATAAATAAGGCATAGATGCTGGAGCCAGTCACCTTGGTGGGAACCTGGCTCTATTATTGACTAGCTTGGGCAGGCCCATGAAACTTGGTTAATTCATTTGTAACATGGGACAGTGGGAGGTGCTGTTTCATATAGGGTTGTTAAAGGATTTGTTGGATTTATCTCTTTAAGCCTCTTACAATAGCACCTGTAGCTTTGTGAGTGCCATATGGTATTATTGTTATTATTATTATTCCTATTCAGAGCTCTAGAACCCTATGATCCCATTGCCTGAAAAACCCATGGCTGCCTCTACTCATCATTATTTAGTTTCAAACTCAATATTAAAAAGAATTTATGTATTTTTAGTAGATACAGGGTTTCAACATATTGGCCAGGCTGAGCTCAATCTCCTGACCTCAAGTGATCCGCCCATTTCGGCCTCCCAAAGTGCTGGGATTACAGGCGTGAACCACTGTGTCCACCCAGCCTGTTTATTTTCTGACTTCCTCCACTAGACAGTAAGCAAAATACAAGAGGGAATTCTTGCCTGTCTGTTCACAACAGCCAAGCAGATAGGTGTTTAGTAAGTATCTGTTTAACAAATGAATGAATGGACACTACCATACAGGCAGGCTTGTGGAAATAAGATTTAGTTTTTTCCTTGCTCACCAGACTCAAAACAAAAGGGATTCTTTAACCTGGATGGAAGGGCAGATTTCGATTGATCTCTTGGGTTCCGTTTAAAATACTCAAAATTGATCTCTTGGGTTCTGGTTAAAATCCTCCTCTTCTAAACTGTTTGGAGGCTAAGGAGAAATCCAGACACTGGCTCCGAGGTCCACTTTAGCCTCCCATCCAGCCCTGGTCCAGTCCTCAGTGATGCATGACGTCAGTGCAAGTCCACTATCATCATCCTCTACTCCCCTCCTGGCTTTTTGCCCAGTTACGATGCCCATATTGGCCGTGTGTGTGTGTGTGATGGAATGTTGCTCTGTCACCCAGGCTGGAGTACAGTGGCACAATCTTGGCTCACTGCAACCTCTGCCTCCTGGGTTCAAGTGATTCTCCTGCCTCAGCCTCCCTAGTAGCTGGTATTACAGGCACCTGCCACCAGGCCCAGCTAATTTTTTTTTTTTTTTTTCATTTTTAGTAGAGACTGGTTTCATCGTGTTGGCTAGGCTAGCCTTGAACTACTTACCTCAGGTGATGAGCCTGCTTCGGCCTCCCGAAGTGTTGGAATTACAGGCATGAGCTGCCACGCCTGGCTACCATGTTGGCCTTCTTTATAGGGCTGTTTTAGTTTCTGCCCTCACACTTGGATCTGATACTTTCTGACTGCAATTATGCGTGTAGAAAGTCGATCAGTAAATACATAGAAGCCGAGGGGGACCGAATAGACATAATGAAGGTGGATTAGGAGAACAGGAGATTGTATAATACACAACAGGGGAAATAATGCAGAGTAAAAGTGAAAAAGTAAAAGAATCAGAGAAAGCCTGGAGAGAAAATGAAGGCCTTTCCTCTTTTGCAGGCTTATAAGCAGCCTGATGTGCACATAATATATCAATGTTAATATTAATAAAGATCTTATAAAATTCCAGTCCATTCCATTCCAGTGTTTTCCATTCAGTTTCTCATTTAATCTTCTCAAAACTCCTCTGAGTGATAGCATTATGATCTCCATTCCCAAAGACTCAGAGTGGTTAAGTAACTAGGCTTGGGATAACACAGCTTGAGAAATGGTAGAGCTGCGGTATGAACCCAGCTGACTCCAAAGCCCGCAGGCATGTAAGCAATGAGCTGTGACATTTGCAAGGCCCAAAATGATCAGGTAACCCAACTGTTTGTGTTGTTTATAAGTCTGTTCTCATGATTGTGACATCTGACAATATGTGTTGCAGTATCTAATTACGAATTATACCCGAAACCAGAAATCATGCCTGCATAACCTCTACAAGATTCTATGAGACCTGGTGTGTTTCTCTCTCCTGTGCCATCTATTATCCCCTCTGCTTTACAGTTATCCAGCGACATTGGCCTTATTTCTCTGCTGCACCCACTTTGGGTCCACGGGGTCATTGTGTCCCATGGATTTCCTGCTTCATATGGATGCTTCCAATTTCCTCTCCACCTGGATTTCAAACCATGAACCGTCTTCTCCAAAACAAAGAAATGAATTCCACTTCCACCAAGGTCTTTTGTCACTTATGCCAGGTCCCTGCCACTTACCCTCTGATTTTCTTCTGATTCTTAAAAGCACAGCAGTGGCTTGGATAAGAAAGGTCAGCCCGTGTAAGGTGAAGGAAACTCAAGGAAAGTGGAAGTTTCTTAAGAGTCCAAGTGTTTCTTGCTATCAGTTCCTTCAGGTGCTCCAGGCCTTTGGATGGAAGGGCAGTGACACTGGTATGAGACACGTCCCTGGGAGGTAGAGAACAGGAAAATGCAGAGAGACAGTGAGCAGCCAGGGTCTTCTCAGCCTTGGCCAGAAAGTCAAACAGGTCCGAGGTGAATGGGGAGATGACATGCTCCTTTCTTCTACTAAGTACATAAGCTGAGCTCCTGGTCTAAGGAGGGATATTAGGCTTTTAAGTCATTGTTACAGGAACTCCTTGGAATTCCAGTATTTAGCAATACAAATGCTATTTCCACTGTTGTTTTATTATATTCATCACAATACATGCAAACTCTTGGAATCAGAGAGAGATGCCAGTTTTACTCTGCAACTTGCCACCATATTAACTATGAAAGAGTCTCATGAGGCAAGAGAAATAAAATAGAACAGAGACGAAGGGGCCTAACTTGCTGTTGGCCTCTGTGGAGGCTAGATTTTGGGGACTGATAAACCACTCACAGACACAAATCAACACCAGTATCATGAAAACCTGATAATAAGGCAGACCTCGGAGTCATAACAAGTTATATCGGGAATTCAGGACTGACAACAATTCCCCTGCCCTTATCATTCCAGTGTCTTTAGAAGACTGTAAATCCATTCTTGGAAGGAAAACTCAAGTATTTATATTAACAATGTGAAATCAGATTCGAATCACTTCTGAGAACAATGGGGTTGGGGGGTGGTGGTCAGACTAGGAACAATGTAGGCATCAGTGTTAGTTACTAAAATAGAATTAATTCACAGCATGAGTGTGTCATTCTCTGCTCTTTTCTGAATCCTAGACATTCCGGGCTCCATGTCTTGCTCCATCATTTTTATTGGCACCATTAACAGCTTGAATAAGGCCATCAATATTTAACCTAACATCCCTCCTATTTTATATTTTGTCAATTAAAGTATTCCTTATAGAAGATAATTCCATTTAACATATTTAATACAATTAATAGTATCCGATTAGTGAGTGAATTCCATCATTTACAATTTCTTCCCCCATATCATTGTAAGTGGACTTAGCTGGGAGTTACATTCTCCAGGTTCAAGGCCATCGGAACTTGCTACTGTTTTTTTTTTTTGCAAACATGAAGCTCATGTATTAACCCCATTCTCGCCACAAGACTGTGACTCTCGTGAGGAAAGGGTTGGTGCGGTTGCTATTTTGTTTTGTATTTAATTTAAAAAATTATATAATCTAGCATTTCCCAAACTTGTCTGGTGGTAAGAATTACCCTTGGCGCTTGTTCCTATGTTATCCCCAGGTGGTTTTTAACACTTGTCCCCAAGTGCCTTTGTAAACCGGCATAAGTAAACACTTTAGTAGTTAGTGAGAGAGTGAAGGGACTTTCGAGCCGGACCTAAGCACAGTTGTGAAGCAAATGAAACTGGGTTTTGCTCTCCTGCCTCATCTGTCCTTCTGAGGCTTGACTTTCTCTGTTAGCCACGCTGTCTTCAAGGTGTGGCCATCTTTCAATTCCAGCTTTCTGGAAGCAACTCAGGTTGCTCTTCCCAGCGATGTTTTCATGTCAGTGAAACAGGAGAGCATCTCACCGGCTCCTTTCCCTGCTTTGTTGTCTGCTAGATACACTGATTGTGCGTCTTCATCCGAAAGAGTTGATCCAAGTAATGTGCTTGCATTTTAATACGTATTTCTTGAGAAAACATATTAGTGATGATTTTAGTTACTGCTTGGCAAAACACCCCAAAACAAAGCGGCACAAATCAACAATCTTTTTATTATGAGCATAGGTTTTATGGATCATGAATCAGAACAGGGAATGGTGGGAATAGGCTGTCTCTGTTCTGTGATGTCTGGGGCTTCAGCTGGGAAGATCTGGAGTCTGGGGTGACTCAATGCCTTGGGGGTGGGATTATCTGTAATTTCCTTCACTGGCATGTCTGGTGCCGGGGCTGACGTGACTCAAAGACTGAGCTCAGCTGAGACTGTTGCTGTGGCCACTCCATGTGGGTTGGCCTTCCCACATTACGTCAGCCAGATTCTGAGAGAACTAGCAAATTCAAGGGCAGAGGATGTAGAGTCCACCTCTTAATGGAAAGAGTGTCAAATAATTCGGTGCCTTCTTTTAAAACTGCCGTAATGATCTAAGTGATGGAGAGACCATTGAGGCAGATGATCTGGGGGAAAATTGTCAGTCTATCACTCTGCAAATCAGCATTTCTAGTCTAAGGATTACTCTGGACCAGCATCAGAATCACCTGTAATACAGATCGAGACACATCCCAGACCAAATGAATTATGATCCCTGTTGGTGGGGCCTGGGAATCTGCATTACTTAAGATGCTCTCCAGGTGATTCAGGTGATTCAGAAGCTGATTTCCATCCTCAAAGCATTTTTATGAAGCAGGCAGATACTAAAATTCAGACAAAGAAATAAGTTATGTTGTGTCCAAAGAGATACAGTGAATGAAGGGTGGAGTCGTAACTCTTATTTGGGTCTAGAGTTCTCAGCTTCAGTGTCCTAGGAGCTAGCCTTCACTTTCAGGTCTTTGGAGTCTTTGAACACAGATCCAGGTGCAGTAACTCTCCAGGGACTTTTAGGAACCTGGGAGGGAAGATTTGATTCCAAAGTCTGGCTGAGTATGTGTAATGAGCAGATCCCAGGTGTCCTCTAAGTTGGGTCCCAGTCGGGCTGAACTGGGAGGGTGCTTTGGTAGGGAAGGAGAAAGGAGGTGCTGGGAAATGTGGATAAACCTTATGACAAAAACATTCGTCACATAACGGGTGCTTGGCATATGGTAGGTGCTCAATAATTGGTAATTCCCTCCTTGTCCTAGTTTGAAGTTTGTCTGAGCTCAAGCCAAAAGCAGTGAAGCTGGCAAAACAGCTCCAGTCCAGACCTCAACTTGTATATGCAACTGCTTATTTGATATCTCCACCTGGATGCCTCACTGGCATCTCCAACTTAACAGGTCCTTTCAAAAGGGAGCTTTCTATCCCTTGCCCTCAGCTCAACCTGCTCCTCCTCTATTTTCCCCCAACAAGGTAATTGACACTCCCATCCACTTGACTGCTCAAATTAGTAACCCTGGAATCACTACAACATGTTGGATTTCCTCAAGACCACTGCCTGCCCCCCACCACCCCAACATTTAATCTAGCAAAACATCTATGATTCTGAACACTAAAGGAATCTCAAATCCATGTAATTGCATCTCCAATGTAAGCTTTCTAGTCCAAGCTAACAATGATCTCTTTCTGTAATATCTTTCCTGTCTACTTTTATTCTTTTTCAATCCATTCCCCACATAGTAGCCAGATAATTATAACATAGGAACTGAGTAATGCCATGTTCCTGCCTAAAGGCCTGCAGTGACTTCCCAATGTACCATGAATAACATCCACGCTTCCTACCATGCTCTTTACGGTTTTGCAGATCTAGCACCAGACTACCTTTCTCATCTCAGAGCTCTAAGGCCACTTACAGGCAAAATTAGAATCTATTATTCTTGAAGACATCTTAATCCCCGTTTCTCATAGTTCTAAGTGTCCCTTTAAAATGCTGTACCTGAAGTGCTCCTGCAGCACTCCACCCACACTACCTCTGTACTTACAGGGCCAAGCAGGGGGCACGACTGCCTTTTTTCTTTTTTGATTAACCACCCTTGCAGTGATCTGCAGTTTTAATCAGTCTCATTGTTATCAGACAGAAAGGTAAGAGCTCCTGTAAACTTCCCTATGGATTTAGCATTTCCTCTTCACTCAAAATATCTCAAATGATTCTTGCCTTAAAGCTTACTGGAGCCGGGCACGGTGGCTCACGCCTGTAATCCCAGCACTTTGGGAGGCTGAGGCGGGTGGATCACGAGGTCAAGAGATCGAGACCATCCTGGTCAATATGGTGAAACCCCGTCTCTACTAAAAATACAAAAAATTAGCTGGGCTTGGTGGCACATGCCTGTAATCCCAGCTACTCAGGAGGCTGAGGCAGGAGAATTGCCTGAACCCAGGAGGCGGAGGCTGCAGTGAGCCGAGATCGCGCCATTGCACTCCAGCCTGGGTAACAAGAGCGAAACTCCATCTCAAAAAAAAAAAAAAAAAAAAAAAAAAAGCTTATTGGAATTTCTTTATTTCTTGTCTTCCATCTACCATTTTCCAGGGCTTGAAGCTTTAAGGTCCTTGTGGAGTCTCTACTGCCCTTGCTCTACATTCATGCCATGAATATTTGCACAACATGAAATTGTTCTAGAACCACCACACCCCCACCCTCCAATCAGATGTCAGCCCAGCTATTTGCACATCTACAAATACTTGTTGAATACTGAGTCACATTTGATAGTCTTCCAATTCTGGAGTTGATGGGAGAATAAATCTCAGGCTGAAGAGATTCTCAAACTTGAAAAGTCAGGAATCATTTTAAGTTATTTGAGGCTGTATTTTTTCCCACTCACCCAAAGTTTTATTTGATTACTTCAAATCCAGGATTTTTAAATAGTGTACCTTCTTTTCTAAAATAAACCCATCAACATGTAATTTTTTTTTTCTATGTGAGAAGAATATAAAGAAAGAGTTGTTATGGGTGATGAAGGGGTCTGAAATCATTTGTGGTTATAGCCGTATGGTTAGAAACCTACAAGCTGGAGGGCTTCCCTCTGTTTTGTTGACTCTGGCACTCTGTTCAAAGAGCTCATCAGCAATGGGCATTGAACTCCATGAGAATTTGTCTCTAGCAAGTATTTACTCACAAATCAGAATGCAGCTGAACTGAATCTGGCAAATGGCTTGAAGTCTAATTGCCTAGGTCATGGGAATAATCTCGAGGTAAGTGTCTAATGAAAGCAATAAGACCTAAATTTGGAGAGCGTGAGTCCTGCAGTGTTATATACAGAGAAGAATTTCGTGAGATTTTAATGATGTCAGGAAAAAAGAGACCTAACTATGTTTAATGTCATAGGAAGAGCAAATTGCACCTCAAAAGCAATTACACACTCTAGTATCCCCAAACATTGGAACAATTTTTATTTTTTGACAGATATTTTGTCATTATTATTTAAGAATAACTTTTGATTA